ATGAGGTGTGATAGCTCTGGCGACTCTGCTGGGGAGAAGAACCCAGAACTTCCGATTCAGGGTTCAAGAATGCGAGCTTGTCAATGTGATTTTTATTTGGCTTTATTGTTAATATTACTGTATTTTGTCGCTTAATGTGCTAATTGTCATTTACCGCTTTGATATTACTTGAACTATATTTAAATGTCTTCTTAAGCCTCCATCTGAGTCTTCTGAAAATGGTGCACACGTTCGCGTGGCCCGCTTTTTCTGTAGAAATTATACCAAATAAGACGGGGCTGGGCAAGCAACAAGGCCGGGCGAACTTTCGTGCTCCCGGTACGTTGCCCCCTCCTCGACCCCAGTTGTCCGCTCGTGTAACCCAAGTCTAGTCCACAAGCCCCAGGTTTTAAACCTAGAACAATGCAACCTCATGCCGGATCCCTAGTAGAAACGATTATTTGCATCACGTGCATTTGACCTTGGGGACTCAACACATGGGTTGGGTCCGTCTAGGACAGGTGTACCCAAAATAAAGACCATCCTGATGCATCCTACGTGCTATGTGAATACTTATCTGTTTCGGCTTGCATGTTGACCGGCTAGGAAAAGGAAATAAAGAGAAAACCAACAGTGAGGTAGGATAGAGAATTTACCCGGTTTCTAAAAATCCCGGTATTTGAAAATGTCCCGAAACTCTGCCGAATTTTTGAAAAAATAAGAGAAAAGAAAATGTATTTCAAGAAGAGTGAGTCAAATATCATATTTTTATGACAAAACTGACCGAACTACGCAGGTCTGATTCTCACCGGATGTGGGATACGTAGGCAACCCACATAAGGTTCGGCCTCATTTTTTACAAATAATAAAATAAAGGGTGTTTCAGGGCTTTGGTCAAAACAATAAAGCCGACCCAGCTTCGGATTGTTTTTAAGTTGTTTCTTACCGGAATAGCCTTAGATTATATTTCAATTATCGAAAGGTTATTTTTCGGGAGAAAACAGGAAAGTATGTTTAAAAGGTGTCTTTTTTTTTAAAATACTTACCCCCGGCCTCAAAATTCGCTTGGAATTGTGAAGGGGCCACGTTTGCAAAAATGACCATTTTGCTAACATAGCAATAAAAGGGGTCCTTTGTCCGTTGATTTTTGTTAGAAAACTTGTTTTGCAAAAAGAGTCCACAAGAGTCAACCCTAACCTTAACCCTCCACATGTACAAATGAATACCATCCAGGAATCATCGCAATCTGTCATAGAAAGGGCTCGGATGCAGCTACGCAAGTGGTGGGGTGATTTGGATGAAGATGGCCAACTTTGGGTAAAAGAGCGGTTGGGTTCCCTGGTAGACATCATGCCATCAAACCCCGGGAGGATTTAATTAAAGCCTTGGTAACTTTTTGGGACCCCGTCCACAATGTGTTCCGCTTCTCGGATTTTGAGCTCACCCCCACTCTGGAAGAAATGGCTGGGTATATTGATTTTGGCCAAGAGTTGAGAAAGCAACAACTCATATTCCCCAGGGCTCCATCAGTGCATAAGTTCTTCGATCTTCTGAATATCAGCAAACAAATAAACAAGGCCCGCATAAGCAAAGGGTGTTGTTCTTTCTACTTCCTGTATTTCAGGTTCGGGCACTCTGCCGGGTTTGAAACACATGAAAAGGGGTTGAGTAACAAACAAGACAAGAGCATATGGCAAATTCATCTTCGGTTTGCTTTTATCGTGGCATTTCTAGGGATCATGGTATTTCCGAATTTTAAGGGTACAATAGACCTTCGTATGGCCAGAATCGCACAGGTCCTCGTCGACAAAAAAGATCACACACTTGTCCCATTAGTGCTGGCGGACATTTACCGGGCATTAACATTGTGCAAATCTGGGGGTCAATTTTTCGAAGGCTGCAATTTTCTTCTTCAGATGTGGATGATCGAACACCTTCGCCGTCACCCTAAGTTCATGAGATATGCCTCAGACGGGGACAATTTCATCAAAAAGTATGAGGAAAGGGTGGAAGATTATAAACCACCGGAAGTGTTTGAAGCATGGGTTTCCTATTTGAGAAAATTGAGAGCAAATCAAATTGAATGGACCGTAGGATGGATCCCAATAACAGAAATCATATACATGACCGCTTCAAAGGGCTACTTGATGATGATGATGGGAGCAAGGAGTATACAACCATATGCACCACAAAGAGTTCTGATACAACTGGGAAGATATCAGGTGATACCCGAAGAGGCAGACCTAAGCACTCAAGTCATTGAACTACACCCGGAAGCAACGATACCCGAGGCTTTAGTTCAAAGGGACTGGAATTGTTGTCGGTATCTAAAAAGTAACACCCAGGTCCCACACCCAGCTAAGGGCGAAGTTGATCCCAATTATGCTACTTGGTTTGAAAGGAGTTTCTATGTGAACAATGAGCCGGAGCCCGAGCCCGAACTCGTGAGGCCCACCAAAAGGCCCCATGTTCAAGCCTTTGATGACAAAATTCAAGAAAGGTTAGCCTGGGGGGAAAAGGAAAAGGAATATCAGGCCACCATTCACGATCTGCGAGAAGAGTTGAGAAGTGTCACCTTCAACAACGATTTACAGGCACAAGAGGCTGAGGGTGAGAGGAGAAGATTGGTTCGAGAAAATGAAGCTCTTAGAGCCCAGGTTCAACAGCTAAAAATAGCAGCTGAGAACCCGGGCAGAAGCAGGAAAGATGAAAGGCTCATTTACAACCTTACTCAAAAGGTGCATGACTATGAAAATGACCTGCAGAAAGCTGAGACTGAACTAGCAAAAGCACGAACAAGGTTGGCTAAAAGTGCCGAGGGGCGTGCAGCTTTCATTCAACAGATGCAAGAAAGATATGAAAAAGGGGTCACAGGTTGGGAAAAGGAGATTAGCAGCCTAGAAGGTGAAATGGCAAAACAAGCCAAAAATTTTAAATCTGAGAGAGAGCATTGTTACGCCTTAATGGCGCGGTTGGAAGGGGATTTGCAGCACTTGCAAGAGCAAAATCACGCTGCCACCCAGGTCTTAGAGGCTAGATCCCGGAAGATTGGGTGTTTGTTGCAAGAGAAGGGCATCATGAGAGAGAGGGTCCGAAGGATTGCTGACTACATCACCATGAAGTGCAATGCCTGTGAGGACATGACCAGGTCNGAGGACATGACAAGATCCATGTTTTTCGCCACTGTGATGATCTTTGTTCGTCAGATAATGGAAGAACTCTATCGGCTCCAAGATGACATGGCAAGTAGGCCCGCTGCAAGACCGGTTGGTGTTCCTAGGGCAGGGTTGGAGGCACTGATGTTTTCTTGATTGTATTTTCTTCCTTTTTCGAGTCTGTATTTTTATGTTTCGAGTCTGTTTTCAATTCCTAGAAAAGGCATGTACTGAGTCTTAGAGTCCTAAAAAAAGTATGTTTTGAGTCTTTTGTAATTCAGTAAGATCGTATTAATGAAAATTTGAAAAAAAAACCCACAAAAATTGTTCTTTTATTTTCTGCATTTACTTCCGAACTACGCAAGATCTGATTCATGCGGGGTCATGATACGTAGGCAATCCCCATCGGATTCGATCATAGCTATAAAATAAATTGAGAGAAAAAATAAACTTGAAAATAAAAAGAGAAAGAAAATTGAGTGAAAAAGAGAAAACGAAAAATAGTGAAAAAAAGAGGAGAAAAAGAGATGAAAAGGAAAGAGCAAAAGTGAAGAGAAGAAAATTAGAGAAAAATAAGTAAAGCCGGGATGAAACATGCAACCGTTGCAAACATGTAGAAACACATTTAACTGAATAGGTGCATCACACCCCCAACGTGCGATTACCTATGTGTTATTTGTTTCAGACTAACCGTTTGGTTGCTCTGATTACAGTCCAGGTCTTTATAGAACGGTGGTTGGTTTTTGTGGTAATCTGGCTTTGCACCCATACTTTACAAGATCGAAAGGAAGCACTGAGATGTCTTCTGAAATGACTCTGCCAACAATTCCAATCATTGAGGATAGTCCGATCTCGGGCATCCCAACCTCAGAATCGGTAGTTGCCGAAGAAAACAGAATCTTGCGTCTTCGTGTCATGGAAATGTGGGATGCTTGGGAAAATGGAAGAGAGCCTCCAAGCGCAATCCCGGGATTCCCTGAACTCTTTCCTAGAGCAAGCGGTATCTCCACTGTCCCGATCAGTCACCCAAATACACCACTAGGACACCCAACTATCTTAGCTCATTTTGTGGGAACACCTTCTGAGGTTCGCCCCCAGGTGTTAATGTCCGGTGCAGCTTCAAATATCTTTACCGCTCCACCTTGCTCGGCCACGGCACAACCTACACTGCCCAGGCCTAGTTTTGACCCATCAGCTTTCACCTTCCAAACACCCACCTTCCCAATGGAACCTCCTCAGTTTCCCACTTATACTTACCCTCAACCACCTCGGTATGAGTTCACTGCGGGGCAAGAAAAGACCACCAAAACTCCTGAGCAAGAAGAGATTGCAAGGAAGATGAGGAGTATGGAACAAAGTCTCAAAAGCATACAAGGTTTGAGTGGACAGAAAAGTGTGTCCTATGCCGACTTATGCATGTTCCCTCATGTGCATCTACCATTGGGATTCAAAACCCCAAAATTTGAGAAGTATGATGGACACAGTGATCCTATTGCTCATCTCAAGAGATATTGCAACCAGCTACGAGGAGCCGGTGGAAAGGAAGAACTCCTCATGGCCTATTTCGGAGAAAGTTTGGTTGGCATCGCGTCTGAATGGTACATGGACCAAGATATATCCCGCTGGCACATCTGGGATGATCTTGCTAGAGATTTCGTCAGGCAGTTCCAGTACAACATTGATATCGCTCCAGATAGGAACTCATTGACAAACTTAAAGAAGAAATCCTCGGAAAGCTTCCGAGAGTACGCAGTTAAATGGCGTGAGCAGGCCTCTAGGGTAAAGCCCCCAATGGACGAGATTGAAATGGTCACAGTTTTCCTCCAAGCCCAAGAAGCTGACTACTTCCAAAATATGATGTCTGCGATGGGTAAATCGTTCGCTGAAGCCATCAAGATTGGCGAAATGGTTAAAAATGGGTTGAAAACGGGTCAAATTCTAAGCCAATCCGCTATTAGAGCTACCTCCCAAGCCATTCAGGGTGGGACTGGAGGAGTAGCTAAGGGCAAGAAAAAGGAAGAAACATCCATGGCAGCGTCGGGTGCAAGAAAACACCGTACTCCCAGATCCCTTTTCTCAGAAAGGACCCCGCAGCACTATTACCCCCACCAAGACATGTCCTATGCTCCTCAGCCATACACGGTCATGAATGCTCAACCTTATGTTCGGCCACAACAACAAGCCAACCGGAACCAAGCTTCATTCCCTAGAAACCAGCCTCCTTACCAAACCCACTACAACCCCCGGCCTCCACAAAACAATTTCCACCCTCGTGAGCCACCCAAGAGGCCAAATTTCACTCTCATCGGTGAATCCTACTCCAGTCTGTTCCCAAAGCTTGTTCAAATGGGTCTGCTACAGCCTGTTCCTCAAACCAGGCAAAACCCGGCATCACCCGCTTACAGAGCTGGTGCCCGATGCGCCTATCACTCGGGGGCAGAAGGGCACGACGCCGATGATTGCTGGACTCTGAAGAGAGCCGTGGAGAACTTGATAGAACAAAGGAAGATAGTGCTAAGGGATGAAGATATTCCTAATGTGACTAACAACCCACTGCCGGCCCACAACAATGGGCCGGTAATCGGAATGATTTGTGAGGACAAGGAATTTGACCCGGTGTTGAAGGCCATCATTGCCATCGCTGATGTAGAAAAGAAACCAAAAGCTGCTCCGAAGCAAGACAAAGCGGAGAAAAAGAACAAAACCACCCCTCCAAAGTCGGAGAAGAAAATTGAAGTTGAAACTGGGGCAATGCCTCCCAAAGATGTTGTTCTCTATGTCCCTCGAGGCCGCAAAGAAAAGCAAATGACATTGAGTCCTCCCAGGAGATTCCAGCTAAACAAGACAGCCCAAATGTATGTGCCGAAGGGGACTTACATGATGTGGGGGCCAATAAATCCACCAAGGCTGAGTGAGCCCGTGGTTATTGGCCGCGCACCACAAAAGCCCATGACAGATCCCACCGTTGTACCCTGGAATTACAACAAATCAGTGGTGACTTACAAGGGCAAAAAAATCTCAGGAGAAGTTCAAGAAAATCACCCGGCTGAAAAGTATCTCAATTTGGAAGAGAACAATGCCACTAGAAAGCGCTTCCCATCAAAGAAGCCAGTGAATGCCGAAGAAGCAGAGGTTTTCTTTCAAAAGATGAAAATGGCGGATTATGAGGTGATTGACCAGCTTCGAAAGTTTCCCGAACAAGTCTCTCTGTTATCTCTGTTGATGAACTCCACCGAACATCAAAGGGTATTGATCAAGACCCTTAACGAAGCATATGTGCCTGTTGAGACCACTATAGAGCAGTTGGAGAGAATGGCAGAAAGATTTTTTGCAGTTAACCAGATCTCCTTCAGCAAAAATGATTTGCCCCCAGAAGGGACCGCACATAACAAAGCCCTGCACTTGACAGTCAAATGCGAAGGGTACTACATGAAAAGGGTTATGTTGGACGGAGGCTTTGGGGTAGATATTTGCCCACTCTCAACTCCGCAGCGCATGGAAATTGGTACCGAGAGAATCCGGCCCAACAATGTCTGTGTACGTGCTTTCGATGGTGTCAAAAGGGACACAATTGGAGAGATTGATCTGATCCTAACCATCGGCCCAGTAGACTTCGAAGTAACCTTCCAGGTTTTGGACATGGACACTTCTTACAACTTTCTTTTGGGAAGGTCGTGGATACATGTAGCGGGGGATGTACCTTCTACTCTCCACCAGATGGTGAAGTTCGAGCATGAGGATCAAGAGATTGTGGTCCATGGGGAAGATGAGCAATCTATTTATCAGGACCCGTCAGTCCCGTGTCTTGAAGCAAGAGAGGGGAGTGAGCACATAGCCTATCAGGCTTTTGAGATTGTGGTTGCGGACTAGTGCGAAGAAGGAAACCCTTGCCCCCAAACCTTCCTTTCTAATGCATCAATCATGGTGGCTAAAGAAATGATCAGGCACGGCTACAAACCTGGGAAGGGGCTTGGGAAGTCACTGCAAGGAATAGCTGAACCTATCACCCTGACCGCCAGTGAAAAGTTCTTTGGGGTAGGTTTCCGACCCACTCCAGCTGATGTGAGATGGGCAGATCATAGAAAGAATGATGGTTGGGTTTTGCCTCAGCCAGTGCCACATCTGTACAAAACATTTGTTAAGCCCAAATACAATGAAGAAGAAGAGGATGAGGCTTTTACAGCCGAAGAGATTGAAGAGATCTGTTGGGCAATGAGGAAGATATTATATGAAACCCACATGGTCCAGCCGGGGGAAGGCTCAAGCACCGCTGAGGTGCTATACATGGGACCTGAGGCAAAACTGCAAAACTGGAAGGCTACGCCATTCCCAATCAGGCGGGAGTCCCGGTAGACTTGTCCTGCCACCTTTTCTTCATCACGAGTTATTCCAGGGTGTAACTCGGATGTTT